AAGGCCCAAATGCAACCGTTATGAATAGATAAAAAGTGTGTTCTGGACTTCTGGGTGGTACATTGTAAGAATGCATCCAGTTGCTGCTTATTGTTTGCATCGTGTTCTACCAGTAGACTGTACTATAATAAAAAAGAGCTCCTAAAACAGGGTTTCTTCACTGGTGGGTTGCGACCCAAAATTGGGTCATCTGAATGAGTTTAAGGATCACTGGGTGGGCTGGGCTCAGCTCACCCCTCCGGGCTTTGTGACCTGGTGCACATGGTTGCAACATCATTCTTACAAATTTGGCCCGGTTGACCCCCCCTCATCAGAGGGGCCGGGCCAAACCTGAGCAGCGCTGCAACCTCTGAGGTTGCAACACCCGGAGTAGGGAGCCAAGCCCAGCTAGCCCTGCGGGACAGGAGCTAGGGTCTGTCTCAAGAGGTGAGACTGATTTGTTTACATCTTTGTTTTCCGTGAAGATTCCCAATTCAAGTATTCACCCAGGTCAATGCTGCATATGGCAGGATCATAGCAAAGGTGACAAGGCTTAAGACCTTTTTAAAAAAGAAAATACAATGACCTTTGTTCCTATTCTTTAGCTATCACTAAACTTTAGGATTAAACTGAATTTTAACACTAACCTCTTTCTCCTTTGTTTTCTTCTTTTCAGATGACTTTTTCTTAGAAGAGGTCTTTCTGCTTTTATGTCTTCTGGATCTCTTGGGAATGCTTCCCATCTCAATGATTCCTGGTTCTTCAAAACCACCAAGATCAGTCAGATTCTCCATCCTGAGATCATCTAGATTCTCTTCCTCATAGTCTTCATCTTCTGTCTCTTCACCACTTTCTGACCTCTCATTTTGAGTGTTTCCACCATGACCCTAGTGACAAGCAAAGAACAGTGATACACAGTCACAAGACAGTTTGCAGCAAGGGGAAGGAACAGTATACTTGGTATGGAAACAAACAAAAATAACACTTTGGTTACATGGTCACTTTCACATTGTAATTTGCATTGGCCAAGTTCTCTGCCCGTATAAGTTGATGCAATTGCAACTTACTCCAGCAGAGAATTTGGCTCTGTATATCCCCCCCACCCACTATCTATATAGTTCTGTGATGATGTCATCCACCTCTTTTGCTCAATTATGTTTTTGACTCATTACATTGGGTAAATGTGAAGCACTGCTACCGATGGAAAAACAACGACTTCCAACTCATAAACAAGATTGACTGATCAACTTTCACTCAACTGGAAAACATGCAGAAACTGCAAAGCGAAAATGGCCCAGCCGTTTGAGTGCAGAACCTGCATGTGTCAGCAACAGTATCAGTGAGATCATGGGTGCTGACACTGTGGGTGCTCTGTGGCTCAAGCAGACACCAAAAAAAATAAGGGGTGTTCAGCACTCACAGGGCTGGATAATCTTTTGTGGGCCCCAGCACCTGGACTGTGGCACCACCCCAATGTCCCTCCCCCGATTGGCCTCTTCCTCCCCAAGGCCCCACCCGCATTCAACCCAGAGGCCCCGCTCTTACTCAGCCTCTTCCCCCTGAGGCTCGCCTGTGCTCTGCCCAGAGGTCCCACCCGTGCTTAGCCTCCCTGCCACCCCCGAGGCCCTGTCCACAGGTCGAGGGGGAGGGGGACGGAGGAGCACCCACCAGCAAATACAAAAATCAGCACCTGTGAGTGAGTTATACAGATAATTTTCTGCAGTAGAGAGATGGCCAGTAAATCTGAAGCATTTAGTCAGGAGTGCTCTATCACATCTCATTACCTGCTGCATCACAAGAGAATAGTAGACACCCTTCTGTGTCATGAGTTCATTGTGTGTTCCCTGTTCAACAACACCGTTGTGAAATCCAGCAATAATGTCAGCTGTCCGGATTGTGGAGAGCCGGTGAGCTATCACAATGGTGGTACGTCCAGCCCTAACCTTACAGGGGAAAAAAAAAGAGAGATTTTCTTTAAAATGTGGTTGAAAAAACCCCAGAAAATCCCTACCTAACGGCACAGTG